TCTCTCTCTCTCTCTCTCTCTCTCTCTCTCTCTCTCTCTCTCTCTCTCTCTCTCTCTCTCTCTCTCTCTCTCTCTCTCTCTCTCTCTCTCTCTCTCTCTCTCTCTCTCTCTCTCTCTCTCTCTCTCTCTCTCTCTCTCTCTCTCTCTCTCTCTCTCTCTCTCTCTCTCTCTCTCTCTCTCTCTCTCTCTCTCTCTCCCATCCATCCATCCATCCATTGTGAAATTATTTGGTTTCTTGATAAGGCTCAGAAAAGTCAGGATTCTTTTAAAAAATGACCATCTTTTGTGAGAGCTTAAAATTTCTCTTTCCTCAGAATGAGCACTTTCTTCTTAAATAATGCAAACGCATTGGATGGTTTTTTACAAACACATCTACTATTATGAAGTGGCCAATTTACAATTTTAAAAGCTTAAAGTTTTTTCTAACTGATGCTATAGCTTTGTGCTTTCATCTAACTTTTCTCTTTTCAATTTGTGAAAAATACTGTTTACAGGTAAAGCAGAAACAATTTTAATTTCTGTACCTGTAGAATATAATAGCCTTTTAAATTCTTTGGTTTTTAATATTCCTACAAATGCTGAGGATACAAAAATGGCATATTGTTTCTGAAAATACTCAGATCCCACATTGATGCATTTTTATTGCAATTTGACCTTTGATCAGTCTACTGTTATAATTCATTCTAATATTTGAGGGCTCCTACAAAGACGGGGGGGTGTGTGTGTGTGTCAAACTATTTTCCAAAGTACCAGAAGGCAAGACGAGAAACAATGAATGGAAACTAACCAAGGAGAGAAGCAACCTGGAACTAAGGAGAAATTTCCTAATGGTGAGAGCAATCAACCAATGGAATAGATTGCCTTCAGAAGATATGGGTGCTCCATCACTGGAGTTTTTGAAAAAGAAACTAGGTAACCATTTGTCTGAAATGGTATAGGGTCTCCTGCTCAAACAGGAGGGTTGGTCTAGAAAACCTTTGTGGTCCCTTCCAACTCTATTTTTCTATGTTCTATGTTCATTCCTTGATTCTGGCCACATGTTAAGCAGCACATGTGTAGAAAGCTGAGCCATTCCAGATTCTGAAACTAAGAAGAGAGAGAAGGCCAAGAGCCAAGAAATATAAGAAGACAGAAAAGGTTCACCTTATTTTGATTTTAATAAGATTTTTTGAAGTCCTGTTCTGGTTTTGTCAACTTCAAGAGACAGAGTCAGTAATTCCTGAAAGCCATTTAACAGAAGATGTTCATGTCAAATTTTTTAAAAAATTAGTGCCTTCTACACACACACACACACACACACAAAGAGAGAGAGAGAGAGAGAGAGAGAGAGAGAGAGAGAGAGAGAGAGAGAGAGAGAGAGTGTTATCTAGTAAAGTCTGAGGTGAAAACTGGAGAGACGTTTCCTCACCTGACCTCTTCGTGTTTCGCAATTGTGAAGGTAGCTTAGATGATAAATTTTCAGGTTCAAGGAGGCAAAATTGAGATACTTCAGGAACAGCTGAGACATAAAAAAAAATTGTTCAGTTACACAACATATGGCAATGAGGTTACATTTAAATGTAGATATTGGGGACTAGACAATGTCTCAGAAGACACTTTCCCAGTACTTACATTTTCATCTGCACGTGTGAAAAAAGGACCTCCAATCTTATTCACGGCCATGATCACAGCAACCACATCTTTGCCATTCATTATTGGTGTTGCAAGAATGTTCTTCGTAGTAGACTCAGTCAGTTCATCAACAAATTTACTAAACTGTTGACACTGTTTATTTAAAAAGAAAAAAGAAATTAGAAAACGTAGCATCTAACTTAACAGCCTAGCCTTTTTTCACCCTTCTTAATATAGCATATACAATTATATAGAAATCGTTTTTGATTATTATTATTTTGTTCCAAAAGCATCTTTGCATGACTTCTAAAATACCATTAAAACAGTGTTGCCATGTTAGGTAGATTGTCCTCCAAAGGTGCATTGACAAGGAGACACCAATATGCAGGTCACATTGAATGAGAGGAGTTTTGATATAAATTTGGAACTGATCTGCAACAAAGCTACACTCATCCTGGGGAAAAACCATGTTTGAGATTTTTTACAATGGTTCTTAAGTATCTGGGCCTAGCATTGCCTGTCCATGGTCTCACAATTGGTCTCCTTTCATTTGCAAATTATATGTTTGCCAGTAAGGTTCTACTTGCTCTGTCCTTCAAAGTGAAAATCTACCACTTTACTCAACTGGATACCATAGAGATCTGTTGGAAATTAACTATGATAAATACTCCAGGGAAAATTTGGAAGCTGCTTGACTTAACACATCTAGAGGGCATTCAACTGGAGAAGGGCAAATTATACAATAAAGGCTGTTTAAAATGTCACGCCTCAAGGAAAGGGGAAAGCTGGTTTTAATTCCACGTGGGAGGCACTATTTGTTTACCTTACCTACTGTATCCTACCTACGGCCCTGTGACGAGCAAATGACCTGGTTATGAAAGCGTACTTAACAATGAGGTAATCCCAGCAGAAACCATTTATGGACTGCAGGGATTTGAAATTAATAAGACTGACTTGTGTACGCATGCAGATATGAAAGGACACAATCTGAATTTTAAGACTGGAAAGAAGTTTTATATTTGTGTCACGTAACAAAACAAGAATTTGTCATTCTGGGAGGAAACACAAGTAGTCCTCAAATTATGACCAAATTGAGCCCAAAATTTCAGTTGTTAAGTGAGACAGTTTTTAAGTGAAGTTTGCTCCATTTTACAACCTTCCTTGTCATGATTGTTAAGTGTACTAACACAGTTGTTAAGTCAATCTGGCTTCCCCATTGACTTTGCTTGTCAGAAGATCGCCAAAGCGGATCACATGACCCTGGGACATTGCTGCTGTCATAAATATGAGTCGGTTGCCATGTGTCTGAATTTTGATCATGTGACCATGAAGATGCTGCAATGGTCATAGGTGTGAAACACGGTCATAAGTCACCTGCCATTGTAACTTAATGGTCATTAAATAAACTGTTGTAAGTTGAGGACTATCTGTACTTTTGTTTTTGTCAGGCTGTAACATTCAGACCCACACGTGTAGAATTCAAATAAGCTACTTTATTGTTGTATGTCTATTCTACAGGAATTTCCCCAGACTAGTAGTTTTCACCTGGGAAAGACTAAATAAGGCTCGGTGGCATTCAGGGTGGAATGAGGGGATCAGACCTTGCCTCTCGGTTTTAGCTAAGGATTCCACACTAATTTCTCCCCTTGGATGGTTGTTCTCCAACAATTTTCCACTCTGGTACTTCCCCGAAGGCACAACAGTTCTTGCCACAACAGTTTTGTTGATTTCACTCTGTTGTCCTTGATTAACCAAGACAGCACATGGAATTGATCTAGTTTCTAACTTGGGAGGCTGATGTTCTGAGGAGCTTAAGTGCAGGTGAGTCATTTTCCATTTCCTTTTCTCATCTCTTAGGCTCTCCCCCTCCCACCCTCATTTAGGACTATCTATTTCTTTTTTTAGCAGGGAGATGCGTTCTGACAGCTTCCTCCTCTTAGCAACAGTAATGTTTACCCAATGAATGGCAACAGTAGGAACACTGTGCTCCAGATGATCAGCTAGAAGGACCATTGATTGGTTCTCAACACTTCAAGGTCAACTGTAGTGTGAGCAATCCTGATTAGCTTCAACCTGTTTCTGTGGGTTTGGAGAGTGAAGCCAGTATCAGTGTGGAAGTGCTTTTGAAATGAAAATGAGGGCTAACTTGTAATGTAGTCACACCCTTCTCACTTGAAAAACTTTCCTTAAGCAAATTATATTTGAAAATCCTTTGAATATTACTGTTCAACGGTGACTAAAATTTGCATTGAAAACTCTTTAAAGAACTTAGAAACAGCCCTGTATTATTGGACTAAAAAACCCATCCACTTCAATGTCTGACCACTAATGGGAGAAGAACAATCCCGTGTCCATGCTTCCAAACAACAGGCATCTAGAGGCATGTTCCTTCTTGTGCACCAATCATACTTTACTGATTCAGACCCTCTTAAGGATCCCTTCCAATTTCTGCAATTCTTCAAAATTACTTGATCATACAACCTTCAGGTTGCTTGAAACAAGTTTATCCCAAAGATGCTTTTTTCACAAAGCAGTTGGACTTTCTTGTTTTTCTTTGAAGATGTTTTGCTTCTCATCCAAGAAGCTTCTTCAACTCTGAGAAGCTTCTTAGATGAGAAGCGAAACGTCTTCAAAGAAAAACTTTAAAAGTCCAGTTGCCTTGTGAAAAAGCATCTTTGGGACAACCACGATCTGAATGACTGAGAATCTCCATAGACATTTGAAACAAGATTGTTCTGATGATGTTTCAACGACCAAGGAAAGGAGATGTCCACCCTTAGGAGCTCAGTTAGATAATGATGAGCTGGTTTCACTCAACTTACTTCCACTTATAATTGAGGAATGGGAATAAGGTAGAAAGTTTGTATATGCATTTGCAGCAAAAAGTCACTTTGGATTGGAATTAAAAAGATAGATATAGAACTGATACCATGCAAGAAACCCTAAACTGCTATGGGCTCTCCTGAAGATGTCATGTGTCATGAAAATTCATAGTTCAAGGCCAGTGCTGTGAACCACTCTTCTTAGGTTCAACCTAAGAGTCATCATGTGAGAACGGGCAGCTATATAAATGTTTTAAATACATTTTTAAAGGAACTTTATGTGGAAATGTCATCATTCTCCAAGAAAAGTCATCTGTCTTGCAAGAGAAACTCAGAAGATGCTAAACCTTCCATCGGTGGAATAGTTGCATATAACAGTGCAGAGTCAGAGCTGATAGCCTTATGCTCCATATCATCCTTATAGTAACATCCATATTTTCTCCAGTTTGTCCCATACAAGCCCTCTCACTCCCAGCCAGCATGGCAGAAATAATCAACTGCATAGCCCTGGCATTGGAAAGGAAGGTATGGAGAGAGAAAGAGAGAGAGAGAAAAGATCTGTAATGTGTCATAGCGCAATCAAGAAGACTCCATAAAGAAAATACAGGAGGAAAAGTGCAAAGTGGTAGACGAGAAGAGCAAACGACTGGTTTGGAAGCACATTCCACATGTACAGAATAACAAAATGCTAATAAGAGTGTAGGCAGAAACATACAGACTGAAGAATGTAATTTAAAACGAATGAAAGGAAAACAAAGAAAAAACAAAAATAACATTACAAAGAGAATAAATAAGAGAACTTAACCTTTAGAGAAGAGAGAGCCAACAAAGAGACTTTTGCTATGCTAGACCACAACAGGAGGATGGAAAACTAGATGAATAGAAGAGGAATGTAGATACACTTATTCTGTTTTTCTGATTGTTTTTAGATTTGTAAAAGGGTTCCTGTGCTACAACTTGTGATGTGCGACAGACTTTTGATTTAAAGAGCTGCTGCTCTTGTTCAATCTAGGCACATCAAGTAGAGAAATAGGCACACAGACACACACACACACACACACCGTAATAAATAAGCCTCTACAATGCTACTTCGGTGCTCATAATTAATAGGTATTGGGAGGCGTGATGAATGCCAAAAATGATGAGTACCAAACAAATTTTCCCCATAAGGAATAATGTAGTGAGACAGCCGACACTGACAGTTCTAGCTTTTGTGTTGAGTACCAAACAAGCAATGAGTATTGGGACAAAATTTTCATGTTAAAATGCATTAAGTAACAAACTTGATGAGTTTCAAAGCAGTTAAGTACCAAGGTGCCACTGCATTATGTTTACTGTTTTCTTCTATTAAGAACATGAGCAGACTGTGTTGGATCAGACCAAAGGTCTATCCAGCATTTTGAGTCAGCCAGGCAGATGAATCCAGGAAACCAAGTTCATGACATAAGGGCAATTATCCTTTCTTCTGTTGCTTATAACCAATGGAAGTTAGACTATGTTGCCTTCAATTCTGGGGATGACAGACAGTCAGCAAGAGTTTTGTCCCTTGAAAGTCCAATCCCATGTGACTTTGAAAGTTACACTTATAGTTACCAGGACATTTCTGCAGGAGCAACTTCCTTAGCTTAACAAATAACTGCCTAATGTCCTTAATTACTCTTGTTAAACTATTATGAGAGTGGGAGAATTTGTTTTCTATTTTTAACTCATTATGAATTATGTTATATATCTCCATACACATATTTTCTTAGGCCAAAGATAGGCAACCTGATGATCTCCATAATAATTCACACAATCTTTTGCTTAGGGCATGCCAGTCGGTACGGTTGGTATTAGGTTGTCTACTTTGATAAAAAAAAGGCTATGTTCTTTCTTCAAGGGGACACGTATCTCCAGGGGCTTCCTGAAAGTCCACAAGGAACTGCTAGATAAAAGTAAAACTTCCTACTAATCAGCCTCTTCTCCCTGTAACTTAAATGGACACATCCATGCCGTGCAATACAGAAGCAATTTACTACTGCCTTTTTCTGGGGTATTTCTGCAGCTTTTCAATCCAGCTGACATCCTTGGTCTCCCAAACAGATGCTGTCCAGGACTGATCCTGCTTACCTGTTTGAAATCAGCCAAGGGTGGCTAGGTGGGGTTGCTGGTCCCTAAATCCTAGTGAAAGAATCCCTGTCTTCCTAAAATCCTTCTGAAATACGAGTATTGGTTAATTTTTATTCTTTAGCATTTATTAGTAATAGAATAAACCTCAAGCCTTACCTCAAGAGCATTCTTGATGTTGATGGTCTTCTTGGTCTGAGCAACGTGCCCCAATACACCTATGTCCAGTGGGAAAACAATTTCACAGTCAGAGGTCACCAAACATTCTTCCAGGGTACTGTTTTTATGAACGTTGAACAGCCGGCTAGCCAGCTCCGGGGTGCCGTTTCGCTGCCTGTACATAAACAGACTGCACCACTCAGCATTGATGAGCGCACTGATTTTTTTTAGGGTCTTGAAGACCACCTTCTCCATATTGATGCTGTCCTGCATGTCTTGTATCAGCTCAAAGAGAGTTTCTGTTTCTACTGGGTCCATCCCCTCAAAACCTATGCTGTCTTCTGAGGACAGTTCCCCGTTCATCTTGGCGCTGAAGACTCTGCCCTCCAGTTTCTTCTGAAAATACCGCTTAGCAAAATCTGGATTGCTATCCAAGAAAGTTTCAACTTCCTCTTTGTTGATGCTCATGATGGGGAAATTCTGATTCTGGAGCTTTCAGGCAACGGCTGTGCGAAGTAACGTGGTCCCGCAAATGTGGTGTCCGTGTGTAGAGTGTGGAGACTATAATCAGCAAGGCAATTATCCATCAACAAGCTATTGTTTTGGCCGGTGTGTGGGAGAGCAGATCTTCTTACCCAAGCAGCTTAAACGACTGGTTTCAAAGCTGTTTCAAATAAGGGCATATGAATATGTGATTATGATTCCCCCCCCCCCTAATGGTGATACTGGAAGTGAAATAATCTTCTTGGACTCTAATTAAATACACACAGCTCAGTTGTAATCCGTAGCCAGTCAGATTCCTATCTAATGACACCTGTACTCAGCAGGAGTGTATCCAATAAGGGGAAAAAACGGTATAAACGGACAGACATAGAAATGGCCAAAAGAAGCAATTATTGTATCATGTATTTTCTCTATTTATTTATTTTTTATGGAAGAGCAGTCTCATTTTAGGCTGGCCTATTTATCAGTGGATTTGGGGCACATGGGTTGGATTTCTGCTTAAGGCATTCAAATACTTTATGTCTCCTCCTGGTTGGATAATCAGCAAAGAGAGAAGCGCACACACATATCAGTTATGTTACCTGAAACTAAATTATCTTGAGTCGGGTGCAAAAAAAGAGCTCGTTCCTCTCAATTCTGCATTAGCCAGAGCTCTCCCAAAAATATTAGCTTTAGTTCTGGATGTTGCCATCCTGGAAAAACATTGGAAAATGTGAATTTCTCCAGAGGAAAGCGTACAAAGATCTGGAAGGAAACTCTCACATATAATAGAAGATTTGGATATATCTAGCTTGGAGAAACAAAGGCTCAATCAGTGGCAATGAGAAACACAGGTGACTGCAAGGTGTGGTCCAAAAAGTCTAGAATCTAGATCAGTGGTTCTCAACCTGTGGGTCGGGATCCCATTTGGGGTCGATCGACCATTTCACGGGGGTCGCCAAGCAAGGCTGTCTGCCATTTTTTTGTCCGCCATTTTTTTTCCCTTTTCCAGCAGGTGCCTTACCTCCCTTGGGCTGGGCCAGCTGGTGGTCGGCCTGCTCCATCTCTGCCGCTTGCCAGCTACGCCTCGGCCGGCGCAGGGGGCGGAACCACGCATGCGCGGCGCTCCCGGGCAGGGAAAGTCCTCGACTTACGACCGGTTTAGTCCTCGACTTACGACCGGTTTAGTCCTCGACTTATGACCGGTTTAGTCCTCGACTTACGACCGGTTGGGGTCGTGGCATTAAAAAGGTTGAGAACCACTGATCTAGATAATGGCTGTGGCTATGTGTACATGTCCCTGCTTGCTTTTCATATGGGATCAAAACATTTTCTTGTTTTAGAGTATTTCATTTCTTCATCAGTCCTTTAGATGGCACTACATCCCAACAACTGCAATTTCAAAGGCTATTTTACTCAGAGAAATTTCTCCTTCCAGCATATGTTGAAGATCCTGAATTAAATTAGGAGGTACAAATCACTGAAGACCAAGGCATGTTAATCCTCAGCTTTGCACAAGTTTATTAAATTGGAGTATGCACACGATATTCAGAAAATTGAATCCCAAGAAACAGCAGAGATTCAATTTGGGCCAGATCTGCAGTAGCAACAGCAATAGGACTTAGATTTATAGACTGCCCCATAGTGCTTTACAGCACTCTCTGGGGTGTGTCAACTGTCCAGTTGGCGGATCCAGAAAAAGAAAAACCTCTTGGGACATTATTTTACCAAGAGTATAAACTTTACTGAATAAACCATATTGGCATAGACCAGTGATGGCGAACCTTTTAGAGACCGAGTGCCCAAACTGCAACCCAAAACCCACTTATGCATCATTGGGTGCCAGGTGGGTGTGGCTCATTGGGTGGGTGTGGCCCATTGGGTGGGTGTGGCCAATTGGGTGGGCGTGGCTGTGGTGGTAACGGCAGACTGGGTGAGACTAAAAAGTTCAATCAATCAATTCCAACTTTGCAAGATCTTTTTTTTTCCTGCGAGAAGTTGAAATTGACTGATTGATTGAACCTTTTTTTTTTGCACACGACGGCGGAGGCCTAAAGCGAAAAGGTTTTATAAAACCCAGCTGAAGGCCTAGGACTGGGGCGATGGTGCGCGTGCCCACAGAGAGGGCTCTGAGTGCCGCCTCTGGCATCCGTGCCATAGGTTCGCTACCACTGGCATAGACAAAGCAAAACCAGCTCTGGGTTTCCCACACAAAAGCTAGCATAGTTAATCTCCCCCTTTCCTATATAGGGGCCACCCAGAGTCCATTACGTCCACCAATCACTTCTGTTCATTTTGTTATAGGAACCAATGAAACACACTAGTCCACCTGCTCAATGTGCTTTGGGTTGGAGCCAGTGGCGGGATTCAAATAATTTAACCACCGGTTCTCTGCCCTAATGACCGTTTTAAGGAAAAATGGAAACAGGAAAAAATTCCAGAGCCACAACCCCAGCTAATACTTGGTGGCCTCGCCCCCTTTCCCGTATGCACCAATCGGGAAACTAGAGAGATGAAGTGTCTATTCCTGAAACTATCTCTGAGAAGCACCACCTAGTTTTTGCTTGAATGACATGATCAAAGGCGCCTCATATCCATTTGGTTTCCTGTCGCTCCTCTCTTGGACTTTTGGTGAGGGTTTCCCCCCCACCCACCTGGAAGGAAGTTGAATGAAAACCAGACGTGTTCTGGAAAACACAGATTTATTATAACCGGTTCACCCGAACTCAACCAAAAATTATCGGTTCTGCTGAACCGGTGCAAACCTGCTGAATCCCACCACAGGTTGGAGCTCTCTCTCATGGGAACCAACAATGATCAGATGCAATTGCCCTCACCCCTCCTCCCTTTTCTTTGTCAAGCTGCCAGCAAAGTGTGTGAAAGGTGTGAAAGAGCAAATCAGTTAATGTCAGCATATTGCCCCCAACAACTTGGGTCCTCATTTTGCTGACCTCGGAAGGATGGAAGACTGAATCAACCTCAGTAGTTTGAAGCAAACTGGGACTAAACAGAACTAGCTTGATTTGAATCTGGATTTCAAGAAGCTCCAATCCAATTCATAAAGCTACGATGCTAAACAGGGCCATTGCTTCTGTAAAAAAAAATATTTTAACTTCTTTTGCAAATGCCAAATAATGGAGACAAATGATAGAGGCAATTGAATTCGGTATTTTTGGACAAGGCTTACTTCATGTCAAAGGGATCATATTAATAATTAGACCACTGAGGTCAACCTAGTCATAATGGAATTATAATCGTCTATTATGATTTGTTTCATGTGTATCTTTATAATTTCTCAGCAGTGCACACACCATGAATACTGTTGGTTGTCAGATGATCCTACAATTACTCACTGGTATTTAGATGATGATGATGATGATGATGATGATGATGATGATGACAACAACAACAACAACAACAATAATAATAATAAAGTTGGAAGGGATCTTGGAGGCCATCGAGTCCAACCCCCTGCTCAGACAGGAACTCCATTCGGACAAATGGCTGTCCAGTCTCTTCTTAAAAACTTCCAGTGTTGGAGCATTCACCGCTTCTGGAGGCAGGTTGTTCCATTGGTTAATTGTTCTCACTGTCAGGAAGTTTCTCCCTTAAATGACTCCTTTTTTTCTTACTTTATTCTTTGACGGCATGAATATCAGATCTTGTTAATCAAGTTACTTGTGGAAACTTATACTTACAAATAATTAAATAAAAGACTTTATACATTGCCTCCTTTCCGGGCCTTACCAAGGAATATTATTATCTGGAACGTTACTTCCTTCAGCACATTTTGACCAAAACTCCTGTTCTTCTTTCTAAAAATTTGAATGGTTGTTTCACAGAGAATGAATATTTATGGTAAATGTCATTAAATCATCCCCAATGTACAGATGGTCCTCGACTTACAGCCATTCATTTAGTGACCATTCAAAGTTATAATGGCCCTGAAAAAAAGTGACTGGTGACCGTTTTTCATACTTACGACTGTTGCAGCATTCCCCACAGTCATGTGATCAAAATTCGGATGCTTAGCAACTGGTTCATACTTTTGACGGTTGCACTGTCCTGGGTCATGTGATGAGCTTTTGCAACCTTCTGACAAACAAAGTCAATAGGGAAGTCAGATTCCCTTAACCACCATGCTATGAATTTAACAACTGTGACAAGAAAAGTCATAAATGGGGCAACTGTCACTTAACAACTGTCTCATTTAACAACAGAAATTTGGGGCTCAAATGTGGTCATAAGTCAAGGACTATCTGTGCTTTTTTCTTCTCTTTTTACATGAAAAATAGAATTGGGTTCCTCCTGTACTAGATAAATGGGAAGCATGAAGCTTTAAACTGCACTTTAAGTCTGGAAGACTGAGGACTAAGTCCAAATTGGGATGGGACAAGTGGTGGGATTCAGTAGAACCGGTAGCTAATTTTTTGTTGACTTTGGCAAACCGGCTGATGCTCTAGCCCTTTTTCGCAAGGCCCAGAATGGCCCACTGGAAGTGGCGTCCACACATTTCCGGAAGTCTGTTCGGAGCCAGGGAGACCTCCCAGGCCCAGAACGGCCCACCAGAAGTGTGTGGACGCCACTTCCAGTGGGCCATTGTGGGCCTGGGAGGTGTCCCCCAGGCCTTCGAGGATCAGAACGGACTTCTGGAAGTGGTGTCCACGCACCTCCGATGGGCTGTTCTGGGCTTGGGAGGCCTCCCTTGCTCAGAATGGACTTCCGGAAGTGGTGTTCAGAGAACCTGTTGTTCAGGTATTTGAATCCCACCACTGGATTGGACAATTCCCAAATTCTGAAGCTGGTTTCCAAATTATGCCCAAGACATTCGTTGGTCTTCAATGAAAAATCTAAGAGTAGGCAACTCATAGCAATGGAATGGAATGAGAATAGAATAGAATAGAATAGAATAGAATAGAATAGAAACTTTATTGTCAGTTTAAATGTAATCAGCATACATTAAAATGAAATTTCGTTGCATTCAG